TATCTTGTGGCTGCCTATAAATTCATCAGGGGAGGGCAGCAGGGAATAGGAGATGCTGTATTTGCTACGGTACCCCCTTGGAGTAACTAGGAACAATTGCCCCCAAAAATTGATGGAGAGCAGATTTAGGTTGGACATTAGAAAAAACTTCTTTCCAGTAAGGGTTGCCAGAATCTGGAATGGGCTTCCAAGGGAGGTGGTGGTCTCCTCTACCCTGGGGTATTCAAGAGGAGACTGGACCTAGTATAAGCCACAGAGTACACTGAAGCCTTGCAGAGATGCAGTAGAAATTTTGACTTTCGGGGTTATTTGCTTCTATTAGGCTAGAAATGCCACGAGAACTGATTTTCTTGAGATGTTTCAGTGTCTCCACTCCCATTCTGTAACAGGGTGGTGATGATAACCTTCCTAATACACAAGGATTTTGAAAATAATTTCACCAATGTTTGTGAGAGATTTGCCCTATAGAAAAGGGGATCATATAGCTATACATACAGAAAAAGTCTCTTTTTGGCACTGTTGAATTGGAATAGTAGCCTGGATTCAGTCTCACAACTAAACATCAAAGCTTGAAATGGGTTAAGAACTCAACATTCTTAGCCTAACTCTGATTACGAATTAAATGCAAGTTGAATGTTTAAGTACGGTAAAGCATATATCCCAAGCAGATTTTGCTTATAAAACAAAAATCTGAGAAGCTTATTCTGTGTTTCCTCCCTACTTTCTCTTCTCTTTCCAGTGCTATGTGGTGGTGATGAGAGCTTCTTGTGTTCCAGTGGAATCTGCATCCCTGGGAAACTGCAGTGTAATGGTTACAATGACTGTGATGACTGGAGCGACGAGGCCCACTGCAGTATGTCACTTAAACCTTATAGTATTCTCTAGAGACAAACACAGAACCCTCTTGGGGAAGCCTAGAAATGAAAGTCAGCTATTGTAATGGGATGAGAGTTTTGCATAGCATTTGCGTATACCAACTTTTGGTATTTATTTCAGGTGCTAATGGATGTGTTTAACTCTGCCCACAAAAAGGATTTTTAGTACTTTTAAACTTTATATTTAAAAAAATTATTTCATTAGTTAATTCATTAGCTAAGATTTCTAGAAAAACCCAAGGCAATTTGGTAGTCATTTTTGGACTTTTTTTAAAGTCGAGTAACCTCTGCCACAAAGAAAATTTTCATAAAGAAAGAACTTGTAAGTTTTCAATGTGTGCTTTTTTTAATCCTTAGCATCGGTTCTAAAGTATATGCAAAACCACTGTCTTATAAAGTGTTTTACGCTCCAGCTCTGAGTGTGACCCTTAAAAATAAATTTTTATTGTGGAGTACAATGGAAAAGGGAATATATAGGGTATCTTCATTTGTTGTTTCCCTTCTCCAATATAATATACATCTCCATACTCAAGCATGTGTCTTACTCTTCAGATGAGGAGATTCTAGAACTAGTACCTTGTGTAGAGAAGCTGAACAAATGTATGCTAGTTAAAACACTGAAAAGGCAAAAGTAGAACGAGTCAGGTTGGGGAAGTAAGTAAACAGTAAGTGTGCAGTGAAGTTACTACACATGGAGCCAAGCCAAAACATGGTTTCCAATTAACTCAAACTGTGGGAAAAACCAAGTTTGGATTAAGATATGAAACGTGCACTTCAAGATTCTCTGAAAATCATTTGCCTCTTCTGGATTCCTAGGGAGAAATTATAGGTAACATTTTCAATACCAAATGTCTTAGGAGCCTCAATCCACTTATAGGCTAATAAACTAATGGGATTTCCCTTGAATTTTTTCCCTCAGTGTTGAGTCAATTTTAATGTAAGATGAAACTTTCAAAAGTGCTTAAGTGGTTTAGGAACCTAAATCCCACTGAAGATCAGTCAAAGGGTTGAGAGCATTTAAAAATAAAAATATTACTGGGATGTTGTAATTCTTCCAAAAAAAAGCATTACAAACTCATGAATTCCTGAGTTAAGAAAAAGGATATTCAACCATGTTAGTATACAGAAATGAACAGTTACATTTCTTAAACAGAGTTACTGTTATTTATAGCAATACCATGCCATCAATATTTCAATATATGTGAGTGTGTTTATAATCTCTGATTAGATTTAAATGATTTTTGAAGACACCTCTGATATTTTTTTACCTTCCTCTACTTGTCTTCATCCTCTTTTCAAGAGACACTCCAAGGTAGAGAGAGCTGAACTCTGTTAGTCTGAAATTAGAGGTAGTTAGTTATTCATAGTATCTGACAAAGGCTGTCTTTGTTCTTCACTTAAGGTAAGTGCAATAATTTTGAGGGAGGTTATACTATAATCAACCAGAAGGATGTGGTTCAAGTCTTTCTTTAAGTGCAAAACTTAGCTCAGCAATAACTGGAATCATTGCCAGTGCTAGCGTAATAATGAAAAGTATTAATAATCCCATGTATCTGGATGTGATCCTGGTCATTTGAACTATTACATCATTAACAATGCATCTAAGATGTCACCAGAAACAAAAGAATATGTGCTATATTCTGACTTTGTAGTATACAATTTAATTAATCTAAACAAAGTTCTAACTGCTTGTGCTGTCTTGTGGTGTTCCAGGGTCTGCAGGGATCCAGAAAAATACATGCAAGCCTTTTTACATTAACATAATTTTAAAATGTCCAAAACTTATTTTATCTTGGGCAAGTTTGATTTAATGTAAACCTTGGGCAGGGAGGGTGGGCAGCAGATGCAGGCTTAGTTTATAGTTAGCAAAAATGATGCAATATGTGGGCACATCCAGACATGGGTGACTGGTGCTTCCTGCCTCTGGGTGTCCATCAGTGGCCGATCACTGACTGGGTGGGGGTGTCACTTAAAATTGTGCTATGTAGTTAATGCACATTAAAATAGGCTAAGGCATATTAGGTGTCACTTCAAAACTGGGTACCTATACATGTGATGAAGCTCTCTGCTGCGCTGCATGCTAATTAGCACACAGTGAAGCAGACTAATTAGTGTGCTCCAGCAGCCTCTGCATCCCTACATTTCTAAATGGCAGTGGGGATGTTTTAACTATAGCTCATTGAATGAGCTTTAGTTAAAGCTCCCCACTGGCATTTTGAGGTGTGGGATGCTGAATGCATGTGATGCTGTGGGCATTTTAATTAGAGTGACTCTTAAAGAGCCACTCTAATTAAAGCGCTCCCTTCTCCACCCTGGAGCACGTGTATAGGTGCCCCATACTATTTAGTTAATATGCATTAAGACAGGTTAATGCACATTTTCCTAGTATCTCAAAATAGAGGGCATTTATACACATACATTTGGTGCTGGGACATGCCAGAGATCTGGTGAGTCAGAGCAGACTTGATTAATTGAGTCTGCTTCACATGTGAGCTGACATGCATGGCGCTGTGTTGTGTGCAGTTGTATAAGCAGTGAAATGGATGTCAGCGCGCAGAAAATGGCAGCAGTGCACTTTGGAATTAAAACACTTCTGATGTGTTTTAGTTCCAAAAAGCATGACGCCACCATTTTCTCAGCGCTGATGTGTATTTCACCACTTATACAACAACATGCGCTTATGCGCCTGTGGTGCAAGCATGTGTATGAATGCCCAGAGGTACTAGATTTAATCAGCATTAACTAAAGTGTGTTAATGCACGTGTAGATGCATCCAGTAAGTGCAAGCAAAATCTGCTAGTAATAACATGCAGAATAGATTTAGACCCTCCTCCAAACATGAACTCGTGCCATTTTGCTCACATAAGCAGTCCCATTGCGGACCATAAGAACACTCACATAAGCAAAAGTTACTTATAAACTTAAGTGTTTGCAGCAGTGAAACATTGGTGACCTTTTCCAGACCTGCCCATTTATTCTTGGCTCAAAGGAGAAGTAAGTTTGTCTATACATGATGGACCCTTTGCTTTGCAGTTGAAGGAATGAGGCTCTGGTGACAGTGATTAATAATTTGTTGTGGAAGTAGCTTTCCTTTGGTTGTTCACTGTGGGGATGTGCAGGATTTCAGTTTGCTTGATTTGATGTACTGTAATGAAATCAGTTCTCAGGGTGTCTAGACAGTGACACAACAAAGCTTTATAAAACTAAAAGAAGGTTGCATTTCCTTTGAGATGTCTGGAATGCTTTCTGTAAATTAATTAATTAATGCACCCCATCAGAATTTAAATCAGTAGACTTCAAAATGTGTTAACTGCACCTTTTGGGGAGGCATTGGACTGTCGTAGGTTCAAAACACTAAGTTTCTGCTGATATAAATTGATGTATCAGAGAAAGATGCAGAATTTGGAAATATGAGATTTTTATAAGAACTAAGATGAAAATCAGTGTCCTATTAAATTGTTCACTGTTTTAATTGAAAATACATTGGTTTAGTTAGGTTTAGATTTAAAAATTTTACTATGTATTTTCCACCCAAACATAAGAACATTTTGCCTTCTTCAGCATATGAGAGAAAGCAGATAAACTTGTTAATAATGAAATCCAGCAGACTATACATTTATTTTTTTTTTAAAGTGCAATTTTTTTCCTCATATATTTTCGCTAAATAAAATAACAATGAAAAATGGCTGGAGCAATAGAAGGACATTGTCTTGCCTGCTAGCTACCTGGGAGCCATATCCTGTCGCTGGCTTGGCTAATTTCTCTACCTAGGTGAAGGTATTTGCCCAGGATGGATCTATCCTGATTATTTGCTTGAAAAATGTCTGTTCCTGAGAACTACTTAAGTTCAAAAGGTGAGAGGGTAGTCTGGTTTGCAATGCAGAAAGGGCTTTTCAACATCAAGGCTGAAAAAGCAAACTTATGGTATCTGGTTTGCACCATACCACACCATATCATCATGTTCATATTGAAAGCACACAGAGAAGGCATGCTGTGCCCCTAACATGGTTGTCATACAGTGTAGACATGCTAAGGATGTCCTGCCCCATAAATTAATGGTGAAATGGCAGCTCTCACAGTTGTCCTTTACTGTTGGTTGTATTGCAGTTTCACCCAAAAGCCCTAGCCACAGCTGATGCTGCACTGAGCCAGGCAGTGATATAAAGGTGTAATGAAAGGCAGTCTGTATCCCAAGAACTTACATTTAATTGCAAATTTTATCAGGTTTGTTTACATTAATGTCAAACCAGAGCTTCAGGTGATCCCATAGGACATAAAGTGAAGTGAAACATGGGTTTTTTACCTTATTTTTCAGGTGGCATCCATTTAGAGTAAGAGCAGACATTTAATAAACTTTACAATTTTCAGTGTCTCTTTACTTTTACAGTTTCAAATTATTTATATCAGAAATGTAGAATCATGAAATGAATGGTATGAGAAAGGTGGATAAGGGTGAATCCAAGAGAATTTCAAGTTTCCTGCCTCCAGTAAATTATCAGTGTGTTATTGTTCAGTGCATTATCTTTCTTTTATCTCACTGGCTCCTTCTGACATGCCCATCATACTGTATAAATTATGCAGGTAATACTAAGGCTATGGCAAAATCCTCCACACTCTTTGAATTTTTTTTTTAATTCTGTATGTCAGGCACTGTACTTTTTTCCAGTCAGGAGCATTATAGATTAGGATATCTAGGTGTGGCCCCAAAACTAAATGAATACTTTGTCTCAGTTTGCAATGAGCATACTAATATTGACTGTGGAGGCAAACACAAAGGGGAAAACGGGAATGAGAGCATGGAAATTTCCACAATTGAAGGTAGAAGCAAAATGCAAGGAAGTTAAGCACTCAGATTGAAGGGACTGGATAATTTCATCCCAGAATTCTGAAACAACTGGAATATGAAATGGCATATTTACTACCAGGCCTGGTAGTAAATATACAAATGTAGCAAATGCAGAATGGTACCATAAGATTG